GTCGGCCTCGGTTATTGCAGGAGGAAGTCCGTATAGTATCAGAGCGACGTTCTTGGCTTCAAAGTTTGCTGCGAATGCACTTCGCAACGTTCACAAGAACCGGACTGCAAAATTGGCTTTGTCATCGACTAAAGAATTGGTGAAATTTCAGAAACCTCCAGAACCAGATTTCTCTGCTGAATATCATTGACCATAAAATTAATCCAATTCACAAACAGCAAGAATAATTTTTTTCTTTTTACCTGTACACAGTCTCTAAGAACACAACAACTCAAAGATTCATTCTTCTTGTTGTTTGATTTGTTCTAAAGAATGAACTCTTACTTGGGTTTATTTATACAGGCTTGTCAACACCCAAATATTGTAATATAAAGTATTATTTGTGATTTTCCTCATCTCCATTTCATTATAAAATAGATAGAATTATTCAATTGAAATTGTTTTTGAAGTTACATAACCAATTCTAGTGCTTTTTGTTCATCGTTTAACTGACGTTAAACTTGCTCGAATCTTCCTTTGAGAAAGTTTTTGCAGAGAGTCTGCCATTGCTTCCTATCAGGTTCTGCGTTCTCCATCGTTGCCTTTGCCTTATCCGCAAAATCTTCCTGCGAAAACAGAAAGTGAAAGAACATTCAACAGCTTTGGACTCGCCACATTTTAGACAGAATTGACGTAAAAATGTAAGCAAACCTCCATCAACTTCAAACTGACGACACGGTCAATGATCTCGAAAAGAATCTCTTTGTTGTACTCAGGATGGCCTTGGATGCATAGGAAGTGATTTCCAATGGAGAACATCTCGACGTTGCAATGGTCTGAATAAGCAAGCAATGTAGCTGATTCAGGGAGTTCAAACACTTCGTCTTGATGACATTTTATAATCGCTAATGATTTCGGAATCTGGTTCCCAAAGTAATCACCCGGTTTCACTGCGTCTTTAGCCATTGTTATGCTTCTTAGTCCCATGTCCAAACCTCTACTCGCTCTTCCGATTTTCCCTCCTTTGATTCTGCTTAGTATCTGTTATTTTCAACAACAGAGAGAGAATGGATCACTCATTACAAACAAACCTTATGAATCAAACTGTTGCATGCACGTAAAATCATTGGTTTTTAAATTCATGGTCGATTTCTCAACAATAAGCTATTTCAATGCACGTATTGAAAACTATTTCAGATTAACTAGCCAATGAAGAAATCCACAATGCCACAATTCTAAACTTTCTTAACTTCAACAGATCAAAACCAAACACGTCAATATCCTCAAGAAACTAACTTTATTTTTTGGCATGATCTGCAACAAAATGACACTGACCCACTAAGGCTCAATTCTATGCTTGTGCTTGCATTCACACGTAACTCTCCCCAAAATGAACAAAACAAAACAAAAAAAATATTTTGAAAATATAAAATTTAAAACGTAAACGCAAACAAACAATTTATACATGCATAAGATAATGATTAAATCGGAATATTTAAAAGTGACTCCTCCGAGTACTAAAGAGATTACGAACCAAAATCTGTTAAATTTGATTACAAATGCATAGTGTAAAGAAGAATGTTGAATCTTTAGTGATTAATTGACAAAATATGGGTTTATCGTGTTTAGGATGGATTTCTGAAAACCCTAATTAACATATTTATCCAAAACCAAATCAAATCAATTTCATTAGAAGAAAAAATGTGGAATCTGAACCTGGTGGCCGAAGCAGATACCGAGAACCTTCTTCTTCATGTCGTCGAGTTTTTGACAAAGTGAACAAAGCTTAACGATCCAATCAGCGTCACCGAAAGCGTCATGGAGGCTACCACTGATGACGAATCCTTCGTACTTTTCCAGATCTCTATCCTCCGGAAACTCGCCGTCGATCACTCGGAACAGATCCCATTCCTCACCGTCTTCTCCGAATGTCGAAACGAAAACGTTGAAATAGCCACCGTACGTCTTCTTCACGAACGTCGAATCGCTTGTCGCTAGAAACAGAGCGAATCGCTTTTTTTGCTCAACCATTTTTGTTTTTTTGGAGACGAAAACAAGAAAAGGTTTTGCGTTTTAGACGGCGAAGAAGAAACGCCAAGCTGGAAGATTTTTTTTGCAGTAACAAACTACATGTATAGAAGAAGATGATGATGAGATTCTGTTTTAAATATTGGAATATTACATTAAATAAAAAAGATTTTTAGATAATTTTGTTTCAACTTAAAAAGATATCAATTGCTGTTGTGTTATTTATTATTCTTATTAGTGTAAAAATAGGATAACTAATTCAAAGTATACTCGCTCTC